CCGGAAGTTAACAAAATTGTATCTATTGCTAATGGAGTCGTTGGTGATGATAAAATTAACTGTCACAAAGCTCGTGAAGTTGGAATTGCCACCATGTCCAAAATGACAGGAACGACGTTTAATAACATAAAATTAAAACGCGCTGATAAAGTGGTACCTCTCTTAGCTATGAGTAGCACCGTAAAAGTTCACGATGAGAAAGTTCCTATCGAACCTGTTTTATTATTTCAACGCATGAGTATTGGCTCCGTATCCATTGTCACTGTTCGATGATGCTGGAATGCGTAAATCACAAAAGTCAGCCACTTACGATTGCTTTGAAACAGTAAACATAGGTATTGACAACATAAATGCCACGTACATAATCGACGGAGGATATCTATTACACCGTGTAGTGTGGGATCACGAAGAAACATTTAACCATATTTTAGATAAATACGTGCGGTATGTACATAGACATTTTGACCATAGAGTGACTGTAGTATTTGATGGCTATACTGATTGTACAAAAAAATATTAACGTCGTCGAGCTACAACATCTTCATCTTCGGACGTCATTTTTGATGAATTTATGACAGTTACCACAAGCGAACAGAAATTTCTCGCAAATACACAAGTCTCGATTCATTTCAATCTTGAAAGAAAAATTTACGTCTGAAAATATGTCTGTAAAGCAAGCTGATAATGATGCTGATGTCCTGATGGTTGAAACAGCAATAGAACAATTTACTTCGACAAATCCAACTATTGTTGTTGGTTTGATTCATGTGGATAATTGACGAATTGTGTGTAATAGAGTTCCCAAAATTCATGCCAATTTTTAGCTGGGTGCGCATTAATGTAGCCTTGAATGTCTATTTTGACCGGACTAGATGGATCATTTGACCATTTGAAAATTCATGTTATTTACGACTATATTCTTCGGAAAACGCACTCCCAGTAGTATTATTGTAAGAGCCTACTTCTATATGCACGCGGCGCATATGAGGCTATAAATATGGATGTATCACATTTATGGAACACGAAATGGGGTCTGTAATTTTTCTCGACAATTATGAGCCGAAATGATTTCGCAGATTTATTCGGTTTGACAACAAAAAACAACGAAGCCAACGCTTACAAAACGATAAGTTCGCTTTGATCTCTGAAGTTTGGTACAAATTTATCGAAAACAGTCAAAACTGTTATAAACCAGGGGCATATCTTGCTACAGATGAACAATTGTTTCCTAGGACAGCACGTTACAGATTTACTCAATACATGCCCAACAAACCAGACAAGTTTGGCATAAAATTCTGGTTGGCTTCCAATGTAAGTATGTAGTAAATATATAGTAAACGGCTTTCCATATTTGGGAAAAGATGAAAGAAGAGAATCATCGGTCCCACTTGGGGAGTTTGTGACTTTGAAATTAGCAGAACCATAAACGGGCCATGGAAGAAATATAACAGTATGACAATTTTTTTACACGCGAGTCATTAGGGAATAAACTTCTAGCAAAAAAAACTACGCTTGTTGGGACAATCCGCTAGGAGGAGGAAAAGGATAGTATGTCACGCTTCTCAACAATATTGTAGCGAGCACGAGTGTGTTTGTGCGCGATCGAACACACATGTGCGTAAACGGCTTATCGATTCGCCGACTAACCGAGGGCGCCTTTCTTCATGTGCGCCGTATTTGTAAATGTATGTGTCGTACCTGTGTTCTGAGAAAGCAGTTAAACAGTTCAATGGAAAAAAGAAACTATCCGGATGTTTCCAGAAGGTTCCCGAAAGTAAACAAAAGAGTATTCAAAGGAAGAGACGACCTCCGAGGAAAAGAAATAAATTAACCGTTGCAGAAGTGAATCGAGAAATAAATTAACAGTGATAGCAGTGATATAAATAGCCCAGTGAACAGCGATATATCAACAGTAGTGTAAATAAATAGAGTAATTCATCACCTAAGTTTAGTAATAACTTAATAGTGTTTTTAAGTTCTTTAATAAACAATTATATCAAATAAATAGTTTTGTCGTTATCAGTATTAAAAGTTAATTTTGTTAAACCCACGAACATTACAATATCGATGAAACAGATCAGTAAGAACTTGACGATGCTCTGAACTTCCTTTGGTCAAGATGAAGACCGCGTTTTCCATTGTGACGATTGATATTTAATTGCAGGATCATACCCTTAAGACCAATTTTTGTCACCTGTGACGACCTTAGAAAGAAAATGTGTATCAGTTTGCAACTATTCCTTCAAGTCTTTGCAGATATCCATGCGACATTGTTTCTGCTTCTCGCTTAAAAATCCTGGCGCGAGTTATCCTTTTTATGTTCAATTTTTCCGATAAAATCTGATGGTACATGTCATATGATAATCCCACTATGTTGCAGAAGCCGTGTATGGTCTGCCTACGACCTTTAACAGTTCCGAACAGCAAGGACGTACATGTTCTGGTGTAGTGGCGGTTGTCCGGAACGCTAATCGTCACCAAGAAATTTTTAAAACGATTAGAGCAGTCGTATGCTTATGTTTGACCTAAAACTTCGTTCTCGAATCTTTTCTATATCATTTCGTATATTTCTGTGGTAGTATTCGATTTAATCGGTCATTCGTAGGGTTTACATTTTTATATACTTTTAAGAATGATCGAATAGGTCGATGACATGCTGATAAGTACGAAATAAATAACGGGACATTAAACCGCTTTTGTTTTTTTTTTGTTGAAAACGTATCTTTTAACTTCAGATACTGTTCTTTTTGAGTATGTAGATTTAAACGCCTACTTATCTCTTAGAAGAGATGCTTTTGTATATAAATTGGAAATTGAAACAATTATTAAGGTTTCCGGTTAAATCGTTTCTTCCAAGTTCAATTGTTTCTAAAGTAAACTGTTCCGGTGCAGTTCGAATTTAAAACAAACGGCAGAATCGAACCGAAAAATTGCAAGAAACGTAATCGAACTTTTTTGTCATAACAAATATTTCAGCGGTTTTTATTTTTATTCGAAGTTGATGGCGAATGGCATCATCAAGAACTTTCTTCGGTTACTGAAATTAAACTAAAGTTGAATTCCTGGCTACGCTCAAATAATAAATAAGGATTTGAAGAAGTTAAGCCTGCTCAGCTTCAGTTTTGAAAAGACTTTGCAACATTATATATTAGGTTTCTAAAAATATAGTTCTTTACAATGCGGTTTTTGTTTTGGGCTGTAACAATAAAATACGACATACAGCAAGCAGTTTCTTTTCAACTAGTTATTTGTATTGTTAACAAATTATAAGATGTATAGTAACTGATAAATGATAAACTACAGGCTATCACATGGTGAATGTTCTACGTCAATAGGATCATTTGTTTTTTTATTTGAGAAATCTTAACAAACAAAATTTTGCTCTTTACGATTTTAGTGGGACTCGAATAACGAAATAACTGACTAAATACTATAGTGGTGAATAATTAGCGGATATTATTAGATCTCCTAAAATATGAGACACATGGAGTAAAATTTACAGTTGTTGCAAACTATATGACTTGACTGCGGTTTTATTAGTAGGTACTAATTTAAACAACAACATGTTACACATTATTATTGGCAACCAAATTTAGAAAGGAATGTGAATTTCTTAAATTAATTTAAGTCAGATAAATCAGGATGGATGGAGTAGTAGGAATATAAAGCAGACGATAGCGCACGGTCGAGTCGCCTTCAATAAAAAGAAGTAACTTCTATGCCCACGAACGGTTAATTTAGAAATTCGAAAACTACCGTTATAGGTGTATGTTTGGAGCGCGGCGCTGTACGGGTGCGAAACATGGACAGTGGGCTCGGCGGAAAAGAAAAGGTTAGAAGCGTTCGAAATGTGGTGTTATAGGCGAATGATGAGGATACCGTGGATAGAGAAGGTTAGAAATGAAGAGGTATTA